TAATTATTATTCAGGGTAATACCTCAGCCGAAGCTGCCCTATGGCAAGAGTATACAGCGCCAGATGGTCGGAAATATTACTACAATACGCAAACGCAGGAGACGACGTGGGATAAGCCGAAGTGTCTAGAGCGTATGTGGTTTTTATTATTTGATATTATTTGGTATTATGATTATTATTGTTATTGTTTATTATTATTGTTTTTATTGTTTATTAATTTTTATTTTGTATATATGAATTAATTTAAATGATAATTTTTTTAGCAGCGTCAGAGTCGTCAACGTCCTCGACGACGGCAACATCGAATGCTGCTGGAGATAGTGGAGGGTCTGGCTCGGGTGGAGGACAGGTACCGCAGTTTACTGATGCACAACGTGAGGCAGCAACCCTGGCACAGCAAACGGTTAGCTTTTTTTTGGGATTGGAGGGTATTTTTTAGTGGTATTTATTATTTTTATGTGTTTGTGGGTTTATTGTTATTATTTATATTCATTAATATTATTATTATTATTGTCAAAATTATAGGTTCAAGCGCAATTAGCTGCAGCGAAAGCAGCTCAAGTGGAAGCAAAGAAAAAGGAAGGCGAAGAGCAGAAGGCAACAGCCCAGAAGCAGCAACAGGCCGATAAATCGCGGCCGGTTAGCAGCAATCCCGTGGCGAATACACCCTGGTGTGTGGTGTGGACGGGCGATCATAAGGTACTATTTAGGGTTTTTGTTGTTTTGTTATTGTTTTTATTGTTTTTTATTGTTTATGTTATTATTTATTATTGTTTTTTGTTATTATTTATTATTGTTGTTATGGTGATATTTGAGGTGTTCTTCTATAATCCGTCGACACGAACTTCGGTTTGGGAACGTCCACCAGAGCTTTACAATAGGCCCGATGTTGATTTATTGGTGTCGAAACCACCAGAGGAGAAGAGTGAGTTGTTTTGTTTGGTTATTTTCGTTATATATTGTTATTGTTTTTATTGTTTATTGTTGTTTTTATTGTTTTTTATTTAATTATTGTTATGTGAATATTGCAGAACCACCACCTGCAGCACCCTCGAGCACGGAATCGCAGCAAGAGCAAGAAAAGCAGACAGAGAAAGAACTGGAAAAAGAGGAAGAGAAGATGGATATTGAAGAGGAGAAGACGACAAAGACAAGTTCGGACATGGAAGAGAGTGGCGAAGACGAGAGTAGTACAGGCGGCGGTGGTGGTGGTGGCGGTGCTCCACCGGCCAAAAAAAGCAGAAAAGAGAAGAAATTGTGAGTTTTATTTTCGACAATTTTGTCAAATTTGTGTCAAAAAAGAAATATTTTTGTCAATTTTGTCAATTTTTACTTATTGCTATTATTGTTTTTGTAATATTTATTATTGTTTCGTAGTATAGAGCAAATTTGGGCAGCGGCAAAAAATTATGACGCTATGGGGAATCGAACTCGGGTAGCTTAGTAGGAATGTGTAGAGCTTTACCACTGAGCTGAGTCGAACGGCGCAGTGGGGTTTGGGAGCTGGTCAAGTGGGGATGGGGGTTCGGTTCCGGCCTGCGTCAAAATATTTTTGTCGCCATTTATTTTGTTTTGTGTTGTGGATTTATTGTTTTTATTGTTGTGTATTATATATTATTAATGTTATATATTATTTATTGTTATTATTATAATATAGACTTGGTTGTTATTATCATTGTATATATTGTTGTATTTATTATTATTGTTATTAATATTTATTATTGTTAAGAGAGAAGCAGAGAATGGAGCAGTTGGCATTGAAGAAAGAGAAGGATCGTCCACGGCAGATGCTCG